GGATTAGAGTAAGTGTATCTAGATCATCATGCAACATTAATGAAGAAATTCCATCATAACGTTTCGTTCTTCGCTTAATGTACAAAATCAATCGTTTCCTGAAAGTATGGCTATGGTGTGCCAACCGTCATTTTTAATTATTGTAACACCTAGCTACATTCGTTTTACATATATTTCGGATATTTTGGTATTCGCAAGCCATTCGTGGCCTATTGTTATTAACAAGTCGCATAAATGCCGTAGCAGATTTTGCATTTCCTACTGATCTATAAAGGACAATGTGGTAACCGTCATGTTGACCATGGGATAAGTGGTAACAAAACGGCTTCAAATGTGACTTTAAATTAACTCCGTTAGTCTTTAGTAAACCTGTAGACATTGACCGACCAATGTATTGGGATAGTACAGCCTTTGACGAGATGAATGTTAGTCCGCCAGATAATAGAACGGGGTGGAGCAAATATGTAGTGTAGGTTGTGTCCAAAACCCAAAGTACAGTCGACGTGATTAATCCTCTCTAGAATGGATAGTTACTGAGTGTTGGTAAACCATCCCTGTTGTGTGTGAATACAATGTCCAATTATCTTTGTCCATGTTCTCAGTCGGTTTTGTGACACACAATTCCAGCGAGCACAGAATAACATTAGGCTGACGTAGAAACATTCGCCTGAATTTGTGAGCCCTATCTGACTGACTTTGTGAGTTAAAATTCCTGACCACGCGACAATAATCAGTCCAACTCCATGTACAGATATAACTTACAACATTCATCAGCAAGACGATGGGGACTTTAGTACATTTCCCCCATGATCACTACATTTGATTGCACAACAAGCCATCTCACACATACCACCGTCATGCGCCTTCGGTCTATTCGATCGCGAACAAATATCGTCTCCAACACATGTGATTATGTCTCTCCCCTAACGACCAATAAACCAAACACTTCCAACACAGACGTGTCCATTAATGGTTAGAGAACAATCGATATCTGCAATGAGTCATGTTTCTGCATCAATAATTATTTCGAAATTAAATTTCTCCATCATTTAGCTTATTTCAGATGCTTTGTCTCCAAATATTTGAGCCTATATGAAAAAAACACTGTAAGTGATTTGAGAGTCACATGTCCTACTTACGTAGTTCGCCGGTCTATTAACTTTTAAAACCCAACCTTGAACACTGAGGTTTGTTTCGCCACTTCTCTTCCATGTGAAACTTTGGAGAGAGATGTGTAATCATAATGATATACTAGTTCTTCAGGAGGATCTGATCCGACTTCAAAGTTGGGCAGACGACGACGGACTTACCTTCAACACTTCAAAGTGCAAAGTAGTCCATCTGAGACATGTTGCAGACTATAGTTATAACTTAGGTAACTCACCTCTAGAAGTTTCCCTAGTCGAAAAAAGATTTAGGAGTGTTGGTACCCTACGATCTGAAATCGTATGCGAACTGTGACAAAAACGCCTCTCAAGCAAACCTTGCACTGGTAACATTGAAGCGCATTTTTGGCCAGCTTGACGGTAGAACCTTCCACATAATCTTCAACAGCTTTATTCGTCCCCATTTAGAGTACGGAAACATAGTATTTCCTCCCTCTCTCCAAAAGGATAAGGACACTCTGGAACGTATACAACGTCGAACCACGAAATCAGTTCGGGAACTCAAATTCAAACCTTATGAAGAGCGCCTCAAATCACTTAACCTTTACCCGTTAGAGTATAGGCATCTTAGAGGTGATCTTCTTATGACTTATAGTATCCTTAATACTTCTGGTCATCCCCTTAAACAACTTCTTAAGCTTAGTCATAACACTAACCTCAGAGGTAACACCCAGAAATCGGAGACCCTACATAGCAGAACAGACTGCAGACACAACTTCTACTCCGTTAGAGTTGTCAAGTGCTGAAATTCGCTGCCGACTGAGCTAGTCCAAGCGACCTCCCAGGAGTCCTTTAAGAGAAAACTTGACTTATTCTTAAGGACTAAGGATAACATATTATTGTGATTTACCAAATTCTTTTTTTCCCTCTATTATCGTTCATATACCTAGGTTCTTGCCTGGAGGTATTGGTGATCCACTGCTACCAGACACGGAAGCCCGTTAAGCGAAAGCTTCTTCTATTCCGTCCTCAACCATTTGAAGTTTCAAACTCAGAAAGATCATTCTACCGTATAACTTTGGTCCTCGAGTGATCAGTCCAGTAGGACATCATATTATGTGTTGGGAGTATATGTACTTTTGACGTCTGTGACTGAAGGTCAGTTGAACTGATCCCCAGAGTGTTCTGCCCGTCTATCCATTCTCCCGGATTGAGAATGAATAATATGTCCATCCTTTTCCGAGTTAGTTTCACTAACAGTTGGGTTCCAAATACCAGTTTCTTTAACAAGTCTGAATGTTTGTCTGCTGTTGCCTGTTGCCTCTGCCTTTTAAATCTCTCTTGCTCTCGCTACCCACCACTGTTCGCGATCATTGCGTAAGCTTCTTATCAGCTTGCACTTAAGCTGACTCCACTCTTCGTTATGTTCAGAGCCAGATGTGATAAGTTTTCGGGCATCTATCAGTGCGGTAGATGCTGCTAAGATACAGTGTTCCTCCCTATCCTTACGGTTTACCGTATTAGCAGGTATCACTGCTGTTTCTACAGCTTTTCAGATACCATTCCACGCTGCCTCGGGGTGAACACAACTTACATCTCTGCCCAACTGTTTTTCCAGTTGTTCCTGAAATATATTCCTAGCTTGGCAATCATTTAGTGGAACCCTAAGAGGCTTCCTTGCAGCGTCTTTCCTACATCCAGCAAGACGCAGACAAATACGTGCTTGCACTAGAGCATGATATGAATCTATGAGCAACAGTCTTCTATCGAATCCCTCCATTGGTAGCTGATAGAGATGTAATCTAGTTGGGTGCAACGTTTGGACGAATTCGAGGGTCGCCATGTCAAAAGATGTTTTTCCCATATGCTTGAAGTTATTATTTGCAAGAAACAGGCGGTTATATAAGCATAGCTGCAATAGACGGTCTCCATTATCTGTCCTTTTAGCCACGACACCATAAGATCCACCCAGGTGTCTTTCCCTTTCGCCTAGTTTACCTACTTGAGCATCAAAGTCACCAGCCACTATTACTACGTCACAGCGCCTAGCTTTCCGGACAAGGTCCTTTATTATGACATGATGAGGTCAAATGAATGAGGCTACTCGGATCCTGTATGCGCATTTCGGAGATGCGGCACACATAGTCGTTGTGAGATTCCAAAGTCCTAGTTAAGGAAGCCTGTTGTCCTATTCGGCATAATGTTCGGAAGTTAAAAGTTCCTAAATGTAGTTTAGAGTGTGGTTCAGGAGACCAGGAATAACGTCCCACGTACTCTAATCGTTTGTCCTAGCGATGTGGGGTGATAAAGGGACGTGCGAAGCGTTAGTCGTGAAGATAAGAGAGCTATTAAGTGTAGGAAGGAGTTGATTGTGATCAACTTGGTGTGCTGTTATGGGTATGAGGGCTAATATCACATCTTGGCTCCTACATTGTGAAAAGACGTTTTTTGAGGGATCTGAAAAGGAGTTTGGATTAATGTTGATCTTAACGACCTGGGAGTGTGACCTCAGAGACCAAGGGACAACTGCTTGAGTCCGGTCGCGCACAGCCTTTTAGCGGGAAGTTTTTGACCTTTTAGCCTTGTTCTTCAAAGGGCCTTATCGCCGTAGACGGAAATCTGTGAGGTAGGATGAGGCGTGACATTTTTAGGGTTGATTTTATCTAACCCATTCCTTCCTTGTGAGAAAGCAGCATCACTGCGGATGCTGGTTTTCCGATGAAAACACCTTACCGCTGTCCTGCACCACCCTATAGTCAGCAGTACGAATTCTCCCTCAGACCTTGAGTTGCCGTTTTGAGTCCTACAGTTCTTCAGTCGACCTGCCTGGCGTGATGCAACCTGCAGTAATATATATTCCAGCCAATATAGTTCGGTTGAGTCATCACGTTAGGCACTACCACGTTAGTGTAGCAGCTACGGTCGATACAAATGGGTGTAGTTGTAGATCCGTCCTGATAAGCAACTGTTCAGTAAGTCTTCGACAGTGATGCTGATCTGTGATATTCAGTAGTTGAATTACTATACGAACCAGGAACCCCCAAAACAGAGCGAATCAAGCCAAATAGAACTAAGTTAACACAAACGAACATATTGTATTCGGCATTTGAGATCAGGCAGCAAATTAATTATAAAAGAATAATTATTTAGTGTAAGCATCACATGACTTTATTAGTTTCACTAAACCCAACGTAGCGGAAGTCACTTGGTTTAGTATCCGCTACAGATCACCATCACACCAACCGACCACCTTAGATCAAACGATTTTCAACCTATCAACAGCTTTCTAAATATAACTTCGAACTTCATCATTTCTGACTTTTAATTTGATTTATTAAGTATTTTTCGGTCTTAAGGATGTTATAAACTAAAGCTTTTTCATCCTAATCTACCGATTTCGGAGAAATTCTTGGGGAAATGCGACAAAATCCTCCAAATTTCCCTTGGTCAGTTGTCTTTCTCCATTGTTTTAGGTTATCCTGAGGAAGTTCTCGAAACCCTTGGTGATATGTTGGATTTTCACCAATATTCTGCCAGAATTCGATGAAAACTGGATTTTCATATGACTCTGGAGAAAACCCAAAATCTCGGAGATAGGGATATCTCGAATATTTGTAGCATCTTTATACTTACCATCAAAAACTTTAACCGGCACTAGCTGAAATAGAAGATGTGCTAGAAGGAATATTACACAAACCCTTAACACCGTTATAAGTGGTAAGTATGAGTTATAACTAGTTTCTGATACGATAATCGCAATTTCTCGAGACTCAAAATATTCCTTTCGTTTATTCAAATTTGTTCACAGACAGTCATCATCGTCATCAGTTCAGACACTGAGATAAAAACATAACGGATTTGCTTTTTCATCTATTCACAAAACAAAAGTTAAGGTTTCAACTGAGTGTTACCTTGAGGTATGTGCGTGCTTCAAAGTAAAATGTGCTTTGCGCGTTACAAGTGACATCCTGGAGAATATGAACGTGTTAATGGATAATACCGTAAGGAAACATTCCAGATTTACCACTTTGGTTTTTTGCGAATGAGACTTTATGCACTTACAACCTTTTTTTAGAACTACCGTAACGAAGCTAGCAATTGTGGTATTGTAAGTGCCACTTCGACCTCCGAAGGTGCGTTTCACCAAGTTTTCCAAATTTATTTTGTTGAGTTTCACCTAACATGTGTTTTTGTTACACAAAAATTCTCAGATGTTTTTACTTGTGTTAAGAGGCTTGCTATTATCTTTGACTAGTTCTAAACAACTGTTGATATATGATTTCGCCAACTGACTTCCATCTATTCGGTTTTATGCTTGCACAGCAAAGTTGAGTCTTATGTCCTGTACTGTCTCTGGTGGTGTCTCCTAGGGGTTCTGACACCTGCTGTGATGATTAAGCCACTTTAGTGAAGCTACTACATAATCAGAGATTGGTAGGCGTTTCATTTTTTATCGTACGTTTTCATTTTCTGTCGGCAAAATAGTTGAACCGATTAGTTGGCTCATTATTTAAACCACGTGGCTCATAGAATCTATAAAAGGCCTCCGTAATGACTGTCAAAGCATACATATTTCCCATTAGCCCTTTCATTTTCGGTGCCATTTCCCCAAAATTTTCTATAACGGCTTCCCGAAAATTCCCCCAAATTGGGAGATTAGGTTCAACGAATTAACCTGATAAATTCAAGTGCGGGTTTAACAATGTTCTGTCAATATTCGTATCTCGAATGTGTCGTATTTCCAGGTTTATTGGTTCATTATAATACGTGTTTTACTACGATGTTGGGTCTAAAAATGTTCCATTCCCTTCTCCCTTAAAATTACAACCAGATAGGTTGTAAACCTGTTTATATGTCCCTTAGTATTCGGTATGTGAGTCACAGATACCTTATATAAAGGCTAACATTGTCCTTCGTTCCGACAATAGAACACATATTAATGCTTCCTTTGACTTTCGTAAGTAATAAAAGCTGCGTAGTCTGTTATGATCGTTTGCACTCATATAGGTTCTAGCGTCTTCTTGGAACCTATCTTAAAACAGACCAATGTCATATATTTTTGTTCACAGTTTCTGTTATATATTAAAAAATAAACCTATAAACTTACTGAATATTGACTTCCTGAGATTCTCAACCATTTTTTATATTACCATCTCTAAATGATGGAAAAATCAATGACACTAATAACAATGTCAGTAGATGTATACCATAAAATCCTATCAGTTTACTGCAAACTTTTCAATAGAGACCAAAGTTTTCTTATATTTCCCATAGAAAGATCAAATATCTTCTTGACTATTTGTTAAAAAATTGTAAATACGTTCCAGCTTGTTTTATATACAACCTATTGGTTTGCGCCTTGATTTCTTTATGTCAACTAAAATCAACTGCGTTTTATGTGATCTGGATCATTCCCATCTTTGCCTTTAATGTTCTTACAAAGCGACCACAAAACCCATAAATTCGTGACTTTTCGCTTCGTATTTACTTGGGGTTTGAGGTCACTATATACAGTGGCTTTCTGACAACTGTAAGCAATAAATAAACATGTGCATCTGTATTATCTCACCCGCTGTCTGTCTTGCTCTATTCGGCTCAAGCTTTTTGTCAAAGGATTGTTCGCGTACATCCCACCTATCGAATGTCTTAGTATGACAGGATTTAGACTGGAATTGTCATTTCTTAAAAGAGGTATATTATTGGTGATACAAAATGTACCTCTTAATTTGGAAGATTTACCACGTTGTGTTTGTTTGGATGTTCGTTTGACAGTACAGATCTGTAAACTTAACTGTAACCCTCTGTAATGCATGAGAACGTGGGGAAGTTTTACTGGTGCGAAGTTACTTAGTCTTTTTTACCTTATAACCAAGTACAATCTCGTTTCTTCCTAATAGATGATCAGCTGAGTTTATGTTGTCTATGTGGTCAAACGTTTCCAAGCATCAAGTCCCTTCATATTCACATTAATGTTGTACACGAAGGTAAGCTTATTTAGAAATTTCAAACTTGATTTGCAATCATCATTTTAAAATAATACTACAGCAAAGGTTCGTTGTCATGGGGTTGACCAAAACTATGTTTGACTTTTATGTATAGCTAATCGAATTACAATAAAGGTTTCTTGTTCTAAGTACTCATGTTCAAACTCTGCTCCAACTATATTAATTTATACTCCCAAGTGGCAGTTGATAGATATTTTTATCCTAACATCTCGGCTTGATTGCAAAAATAGTTCGTCTTATTCTTTGTTCTTTTCCTCTTTATATTCGATCACTACATATTTTGCCCATTAGCTCCCGACTCACATAAAAATTCATTTTTTTACTGTATTTGAATTAATAATAGTCTTGCACTTGAAAGATAAAGCGAACTGTTGGTTTCATAATTTATGTAATATAAATATGTACTACACTTAACGTGTTCAACGTGTGCCCATATGTGCTAGTTCAGTCATTTTTAGTAACAAGTTTGACCAGGTATTCTTACGTCTACCATAAATATCCTTGTGTGAAAATACTTTTTAAGTTCAAGAATTACATCCTTATTCCTGTTAACGACCTACGTTTTTTGCCTAATCTGTGCCATGTCAGTAGATGCAGACTACCTGGCTGGGGTCTGTGTGACTATCGTAACAAATGGTTGGAGACTCTGGGTGACATGGCGCAGGTGTATACACTCTTTATCTTCCTTTGAACCTTGAGATTAAAATTGCTTCATATCTGTCTTTCTTCTTGCACTATATCCTTATATACAACCTTTCTTTTATATGTTACCACCTTTAAATTAACTACTATGAATTCGGTATTCATCTTGTTGTGCTAATGAGGTATGGCAAGTTGGACCGATGCATACGTGTGCCTGGTTCTACGTTGTAGCTGACTGACTAAGACCAGCGTTTCTATCGACATTTTTGTAGGTCTACGTAAACCGCTTATCTAGATTTGATTACATATAAGCAGTTGTTTGTCCAGTACTAGCAACGAGATTGACTGAGGTTCTAGGTAGAATCTGGGAACTGGACGTAATTCCATCTGACTGGTCCCAATCACTGATTGTGCCAGTCTATAAGAAAGGACAAAAGTCCTCCTGTGACAATCACAGAGGAATCAGTTTGACCAATATAGTGTCTAAAATATTAGCTTCAATATTACTTAGGCGCCTAACCAAAGCTCGTGAAGAGCAGACTAGAGAAAACCAGGCTAGTTTTCGACCTGGTCGTCGTTGAAGAGACCAGATATTCACTCTACGTCAGGTCCTAGAACATAGACATACATTCAGACGTCCCACAATAGTAGTATTTCTTGACTTTAAGGCGGCATTTGACTCCGTTGATCGTGAGGTTCTATGGCAGTGTTTGTCAGTGAAAGGAGTACCAAAGAAGTACATTAATCTCATAAAGGCTCTCTACTCGAACACAACTGGTCGAGTTAGAGCCTATGGCGAACTGTCATCAGAATTGATTACCTCAAGTGGTGTTTGTCAGGGCTGTCCACTCTCCCCATTCTTGTTTAACTTTGTCGTTGACATGCTTTTAGAGATATCACTTTCATCTCAATCTCCAGGAGTTGAACTTTTAACGGGAGATTCACTTGTTGACTTAGAATACGCCGACGACATAGTTTTATTTCGTGAAGATGCTGACAAAATGCAGAGTCTTCTGACCACTATAAGCAACAATGCAGGCATGTTCGGGATGCAATTCTCTCCCTCGAAGTGCAAAATGTTACTTCAGGATTGGGTTGCATCGACACCTGAACTAATGATAAGGAGTGAAGTAGTTGAACGTGTTGACTGTTTCACTTATCTTGGGAGTCTCATCAGCCCTTGTGGTCTGGTGTGTGACGAAATCTCAACACGGATACAGAAGGCTCGTCTAGCTTTTGCCAACTTGCATCATTTATGGCGTAGGCGAGATATCCGTCTAGCAACAAAAGGACGGGTTTACTGTGCAGCAGTTCGCTCTGTTTTACTTTATGGCAGTGAAACATGGCCGATAAGAGTAGAGGATATTCGTAGGCTACTAGTATTCGATCATAGGTGTCTTCGAAGCATTGCTCGTATATCCTGGGACCACCGGGTAAGTAATGCAGTTGTTAGGAAACGGGTACTAGGTAAGGATGGGAAATCGATTGGTAAAGTAGTGAAACCTTATCAGTTGAAATGTCTGGGACATGTAATACGTATGCCCAACCACCGACTGCCCCGACGTGCGATATTTCACGGTGTAGGAGCAGGTTAGAAGAAAGGTAGGGGCGGCCAGACCGAAACGTGGCACAAATCCATGGAGTCGCTGACAAGTGGACTGGGCCATGTTGGTAGGTGTAGACTACCTGGTTGGGATTCGCGAGATGATAGTAACCGATGGTTAGAGACCTTGAATGACATGGCTCAAAATCGTTTGCAATGGCGAAGGTGCATACACTCTTTGTGTTCTAACAAATTCTGATCTTCTGAATTCTTCATGTCCGTATCCTTTTTCTCTTTCCAAATTCATTTCACTGTATTATACTCCTTGAATAACATCTTCAAACACTAATCTTTCCGATTACTGCTTATACTCTTACTACTTCTACCACTGTGGGATTTGAATCAACAACTGAATCTCTGTGCTAATGTGTTATGGCAACTCGAACTGATGTACGTACGTACGAAGTTCTACGTTGTAACTGACTAACTGGAGTTGTTTTAGACAAACGTGTTGACGGAAATAATAATTCGAGATTTTACCAGTGTAAAGATCCCCATAGAATATTCAAAAAATGAACCATATTTGAGCGAACAATCGTTTTCAGTAACTTCATGTTCAGGCTCTACAATTATAAGTCCATAATTTACAAACAACACAATTTTGAAGTATATATGTCGTAACAGATACAAACGTTCACCATTTTTAACATATAACATTGTCAATTTCGAGATTTGTTAAGAGGAAACTTGAGAGCCTTCAGCATTAATTTTGAGTCTGTCACAGACTAGTTGGTATATCAAAGTAGTCTGTCCGCATATAATTCACTCAGATTCAAAGTTGTGGGCCACATTAGTCCAAGTATGTACCACAACCATTGCTAATTTTAAAACTGATTCGGTTGTAATCAGTAATGGCATAAGTCACTATAAAATCGTATATTTCTATTAAATTTCTTTAACCGTTGGAACGTTACATATAGCAGTAACATTCGCCATGCATGTAACGTATCAGAAATTAGCCCACTGGTAAGACAAGATGGGGGAATATTGTGGAGTTTTTCCACAACATTGAAACAACTGATGCAATCGTCTATGTCATTTAAGGGGTAGTTATAGATTTCAAGGCCACTTATGAGAATCGATAAACCTGGTTTTCAAATCCGTAGCGCTTGTTAGCTCCAGGTTCTTGTTAGAATCTGTGACGTACGTACCTATTGTGGCCACAAATCATTCTGATGATACATCTTTCGACGTTGCTCTATTGCTTTTTAGATCAGATAATTAGGTTTGAAACTACTTTGTCCGACGTGCCCGAAGACCCAATAACTATAACCAGGGACTGACGACAGATACAATGTCTCCTTTATTACTTTCGATTCCCCAATGGATCGTAGCGTAGATGTTGTTCAAAATCAGTCTAATTACCAATTAATTTTCAACAAAGCCCATTTGACAGATATCACAACATAGATACTCTAGTTGGGTGTTTAGGTCTAGAATAGAGCTTTTCATCCAACCAGTGTGAAGTCGATGTTCCCAAGTTGAATAATACAGATTATCTTCTGTGGTGACATGGAGTGTCGTCAGTTTTGCTTAGTCCCGTACGTCTAATCTCACGGTTACTCGCTCGGTGGTTACAACGTTGGAACATGTAGGAACAATGAAGTCTGAGACAATTAATGAACAGTTTGAAAATGAAGTATTGGAGTATGGTTTTTCTATTTTACCAAGTAACTGTAATTTTGTGCTAAATATATAATCGGTTGTGCTTACCTGTGTTCTCCTTCACTACACTACGAACTGTTGGTCGAAAGCTTAGTGCCTTAACCACTATTCAGCTACTACTTGTATTTATTGAATAATCTAAATTTCTAGTCTAATTTCTCCATCAATGCAAAATGTAAATCTATGTCAGGTAGGGCGAGTAAAACGTAACGTACCTTGATATAAATCAAAGAACTAACTTTGTAGAAATACTAATTATTTTCTTCTTTGATTCTTATAGAAGTGGCAGACTCTTTTGATTTTCACTTAACTGATGGTGAAAACGACGACTCTCATTCAGTAAGTTAAGACTATTGAGATATTTTTGGAGAGATTGTGAAAATATGTACTTTATTCTGCTTCTCAAAAAAGGACTGTAGTTTTTACTATTTGTTATATGTCTTTAGCGTAATCTCTTTTCAATTTTCACTCGACCAATATGGTGATTATCGAATCAAAGTCCTATAATAACTTGAGAGATACTAGAATTCTAATCCATCTATTTTTATTAGTTTTATGATACGTCATATATACTGGGATGTGTTAATCGTAATGGAATAACCGGACTCATACGTATTACTTATAATGAATGACACGAATATGAAATGGTAATCACGTTTAAACGACAAGAAGTTATGTTTATTAATCCCATTGATGGCTCTTCATAAAAGAACAGGGGTGGTCATATCTCAGACTGGGTGACTGAATCAACGAGGAAACGCTGAGAAATAGTTTAATAAACCTTCAACTCCCCACTACTCACTTTCAACTTTAACAGAACATAAAAATCAAACCCTCCAACTCTTAGCAAAGTAAAAGAAACTTTGATTAACTTTATACAAGTGAGATTAATATGTTGTGACAGGTTGATTTCTTAAGTTTGAGATCTAGGTGTAATTCGGTCTCATCGGTTTCATATTTTAGTATTGAAGCCACGGAGACAAAATTAGATATAACGCTTGGTTTGTTTGCGTTTAGTACTGAATGAATTAATATATAACTCAACTGCAGACATTAAAAGTGGTCGAAACCATGAAAGGTCGAGCTCAATACCTGCGATACGGAACGGCCTATGGATGTTCTATCAAAAAAGGTGTTCAAACATTGAAATTTACTCAGCAAATGCTGGTCATCACTCTCATCAAATGCTGCATTCGATGTTTTATACATCCTAATGTTTTCAGGCCTCGTCTGCCTGTACTTCGTTTAGTTTTAGATCGAAAGTATGACCACTAACTTCAACAGTGTTTTTTCTGGTTTCTACGGTGGTAATCATTAATACTCCCATTAATTTGACTATCGGCTTACTATAAGAATGGCTGATTTTTCTGGACTTTTCGTGGCACCGTGGGTTCTACTAACAAAATCAGACTTTGTGTCTTGTCTCTGCATTTACCGGGACAGTGGTTTTCGTAGGCGCATTGTTTGGTTAAATTACGTGCATCCTAACTCCTATAGATAAATAATGAAGCCTTCTTCAACCCTCTAGCGGATTAGTTAAGTAATGTGGTGGATCCAGAAGACTCAGGTTCAAGAATACATAAACTCTGAAATCTCCTTAATTTTTAGATTAGATCGAAATAATATGCTTGAAATAATTTATCTATCGAAGTTCGGCTGTGACATTAAAATTCGATCTATGGCCATAATCATATTATTCACCAATATAGTGCTAATGGCGATAAATTTCGCAGATTGATAACATCAGGCGAGATCAATAACTCACCAAAAGGCTTCCAGCGTTTCTGAATTCGATTAATCAAAATGATAGACAATCTGACCATACTTCTCTCATCTTTCCCATTTTAAGCAACCATACTTCATGGTGTCATTAAAGTATAAAGTCTGCTATAAAACGGCTCATCGTGATGGAGTCAGAGATAAACTAAAAAAATGTAGTTTGTTTTCATTATATAACTTTATTGGAATGCTGAAAACGTCACATAAAATCCCTGTTTCAGCAATTTTACGGGGAAAATAATATTCTTACATGATATTTTCTTGCTGTACTGAATGGTAACATCATTTTATTCAATATGTAACAATAGTATTCTTCATGTTCTTTATGTATTTATAGGTTACCTTAGGATCGCGGATCTCACTGTCATCTAGTAGTGAGGAATTTATATCTAGTAAGTAACCTATTTAGTCCCTTGGCAAACAGTCATGAGTTGTTTGGTCTGTTTTAATTTATTCTAAAATACTTAAATGATATTAAAATGAAAATAGTTTCTTGTCACAGATGATCCTCATTCTTAAGTTTTGCTTATTGGTTATGGATTTTTAAAAATAATCTAATTAGGCTTCACTTCTATTCTTATGCTGTTATTATCCGCAACATTTCGAATCCTGTGAAGTTTACAGTAAATTCTAATGGTTTCATTTTGCTGTAGACTAATTTGAACTCTCCACCTCATCATTTCTTGTATTTTTTGTGCTCAACTATTTTGATTCAGTTCTTAAGGTTAATGTTTACGAATATATGATGAATTCTTGTAAAAATCACTATTAAGCATAAAAATCAGTTTGGATTTCGCGTTTGTTTACTATAACACTGCAAAACCTTTGATACTAAAATGCCTTTTAAAGTCTTCCAAATCTGCAATTTATTTAGTACCGAATCTCCCATTCAACCGTGAAAGAATTTTGTTGCTTTTTTCAGGGAAATTCCTTTTTTGTTGTACAGGACTCATTTGTACGCTACTTTTTTGAATATTTATTAGTGTTACTCAAACATTAGATGTACAGATTTACACACTCAGCATTGAAGTACACTTCATGTGTATGGCTTATTGATGTTTGTCTAAACTGCAATAGGTAGATGTCTGTATCTGCATTGACCACTTAGTCATATATATATATATATATATATATATATATATATATATATAATCTTTTTCCCAACAATAGTCTTTTTTACTGTTTAGAATTATTAGAGCCCGAACTGAAAAACCTGTTAAGTCTTTAGGTGGCTGAATACATATTTATGTCAGAAGGGGTTTTGTGTATATTATAGTAATTTCAATAGTTTAGATCATGAGTCAATTGAAGTTAAACCACCATGGAAAACCTGGAAGCACTGGACGGCCGTTTCGTCTAACTTCAACCAATCTATGAAATTGAGCAACCATCCACCATTGTCTTCAGTGAGTTACTATCTTACAACAGGCCCGGTTGAACTCCACTAGTCACTGCTTCTCACTAAAATTCCAGGAAATATCTCCTGAAGTCAGTCACTAGTGAGCATATGATTATTATCAAAAGGGGCTTTTTGTGGAGATTTTAGTAATTTTATAGTTGAACTATTATCATTATTATTACTATTATTATTAATGGCATGAGTTCATTGAAGTTAGACATTAACACCGTTGGATGCCGACTCAGTGGTCTAGAGGTTAGGCGTTTGCGCGCAAGACTGATAGGTCCTGGGTTTGAATCTCGCGAGGCGGGATAGTGGGTGCTCACTTCTGAGAAGTCTCACAATAGGGTGAAATGGCCGTCCAGTGCTTCCAGCTTTTCCATGGCGGTTTAGCTTCAATGGACTCATGATCTCGACTATTGAAATTACATATTTATGTATTGGTTTGTTCAGATTGTGAAAACTTTAACACTTTAGTCATTCTAATAATATCCTCCTTACTTTAATATCCAGAGCCTGAAACTCCAGTTGTTTGTCCTAATTGTAAAAAGTCGTTTCCTGGTCTCACAAGTTTACGAGTTCATATAGATTCTGTACATCATGGTGAGCGTTTATACAATGAATTGACTTCAATGTTTATTGATATATATATATATATATATATATATATATATATATATATATTACTAATTATTCAATGAAGATAGTATGACTTACCAGACAATGAATGATTAATCAATGCTAAAAATTAAAGTTATCAAAAAACTAATATCTTTGTAATTATATTTGAAAGTTTCTAGTAGTAAGGTCTCGTATCAACGTGATATGAAGTAGAAAAAGAATAAGTGGCAAACTTGGTCCATCTGAAAAAGCCATAAGAACGATATACAGCAATAAAAACACAATAAATGAAAAACTAATTATCTTGAGCAAAAGTATACGAGCCTAAAAATAATTGTCACAAATTTCTGACCGGTTCTTAGTCAATCAGAAAACAGCCTTTATAAATTGATATTTTATGAAAAAGAAAACAATAATATTGCAAAGTGTAATATTTACTTCGACAGATTCGTGTGTAACTCGAAGAAACAACAACGTATAAACTCGTCTTTATGGATAAAGGTTGTCCATCTCAAACTCTTATAAGGACCTGAGCAGATTCTTAATCGTCTCTATGTTGTTACTAGTTAGAGTTAGTTATTTAAGACTCAAGTTTGGAGCATGAAGTGATATTAGCTACAATGTAAAATGCTCTGCAGCAATATTAGTGAATTAATTTCGGGCGAAAATAGAATTTATGGCCGACCTTTAAGCGATCCTGAAGTGACCTTGGGGGAAATTCACTTGCTTACTAGGATCAGAAGATAGATTGAGATTAAGAGTTCGACGTGATAGTTTTCATCACGAGCTAACCTCATCTGTAATGCTGAAATACTGTTTAGCCATATGAATGAATGGATTCCGCGCCCAAATCCAAAACTTGCTATTTTAAATCTCATTGGTTCGTCTATATATTGTAGTCTCACTGAATTTCGTTCATAAGCACAAGAGACTCTATCTAGTTAGTTCATCCACAAGATGCGATGTAACCAAGTTAAAGTTTGTTTCAGGATTAAGGGGTAAGTTTCAGGGATAGTGTCGACTTACCTATTATATACAACATAAAAGAATGGAATTAAACATTTTGACGTCATTTTAAACGTTTTGATCAGTATAAAAACGTATTTTTGCCGCTTGTAATAATTGACGTTTGGATTTCGGGCAAAAACGTAAAAGTCGCGTTCTCGATTCTGATTGACTCGTCCCTAGAATATATTTTTGCCATATCTTCTTGATTCGTTTGTTAGCACCAAAATGTTAAAAACGAACTAATCACTGCACCCAAATTTAAGCTTAGGCTGAACATGTAACTGGTTGGATTCTCTCCTGCTAGCTGTAAAGTAAATACATTACAAATACTAAAATCATATAGATCGTTTATTGACGAATGATTTTGTTTTTACTGTAGAAGTTAACTTACTTTGGTACTCGTCCATATAGTTTCTTATATAGAATGTTGTAATTAAAAGTGATAAAATGTCATTGAGAACCACCAACCGTTTGAAAGACTGGAAACGTGAAGATAATAATTGGAGATTTATTAAGAACAAATACAATTGTTTCCCACAAAATCATCAATAAGTCCTTGATAGGATTTTATAAAAGGCAATTATATAAAGTAATTTACATTTTTAATCATTCAGAGTAGTGAGATTTTTTGAAATGAACACTAAACAAGAACTTTCGTCGAATATCTCACACTGAAAGCATTGTATATGTTTCTTCTTTGGGATATTTTTATACCATGAATCTGATTTTGTTATCAATATCCATCTTTATAGTATATATTTAGTTAATCTTCTCATAAATTTACTTCCAACTAAATAGATTTGTGTGGACATTTATTATTCACTAGGTAATCGGATACCTCAATGTGATTTTTGCATGAAAAAGTTCTCCACTTTATCCTACCTTCGAATGCATATTTCTACTGTTCATGAAGGTTAGTTATCATTTGAAATATTGCTGATTATTTGGTTATCCAACAGCAAATACAAGAGCATAACAACTTGTTCCAGTAATCTAAAATAAGAAGCAGATCAAGTACGTTTGAAACATAAAACCAAAGCTATCGTACGTGTCCAACTTACGGTTAGAATGTACAGTGATAGCGAAAGCGACGTTTAAATAAAATTCTAACTAATAATCGTAGGGACACTACAATTAACCTTTTGAACTAAATTTTAAGCTTTCTACTTAATAATAAAAGTGTCTTAAAGCGAGATGTGAGACTTTTTTGCTCTCTCGACTCCTCTGTTTATTATTGTGTCATCGTTAACTGTTTTTCATTAAGCAGTCAGTTTAAAATTTTTTGACTGCAGTAAATATCGTTTATCCAATATTTCTTGTTCAACGTAATAGTCCTGTATTAATTGCACACGCTTGTGTGTTTATACGTTTTTCCTAATCAGTCAGTCATCTACAACGTAGGACCAGGCACATATATGCATCAGTCCAAGTTGCCACACCTCATTAGCACAACAAGATGAACACCAAATTCATAGAAGCAGTCACTTCAATGACAGTAATACATAAAAAAAGATTGCAAATAAGGATATAGTACGGGGAAAAAGAATTAGTTCGTAGAAAGAAAGGTATAAAATAACTTTCACTCCATATTTTAAGGAAAGATAAAGAGTGTATCCACCTACACAAGGTTTGTGTACTTCTGAGGTACACCTTTCAATGACAGACACTGCCACAGAACCTCTCCATCTAAAGAGTCGAACACTGCTTTTAAGTCAAGAATGACCACGATTGTCGGACACCGATAAGTATGCCGGTATTCCAAAATCTGATGAATGGCGAATATGTAGTCGATGCAGCCATGACCATGTCTGAAGCCAGTCTGATTTTCTCATGTTTGCAGTTCACGAGTCTTAGTTAGGCATCCGATAATTATTGAGGCTATTATTTTAGATGCTATATTAGTCATACTAATCCCTCTATGGTTATCACAGGATGATTTTGACCCCTTATATAATGGGACGATCAGTGATTGTGACTAGTCAGATGTGATTGCGTTCAGTACCCAGATTTTGGCTAGAATATTAGTCAACCTAGTCGCTTAAATTAAACCACCATCTATCTGGAGCCAATCCATCTGAACCAGCTACTCTTCCTCGTTTCAGACTGGCTATAGCCATTTCAACTTCAGCTAGATTCGGGGAATCTACTTCAATGTTCCATTCAGACTGTCTGAGAATGTTGTGTAACTGTAGAGTAGCTGAAGACCAATTTTCTTCATTGAAAGGAATCGGTAATGTATAGTTTGTACCTTTGTATCTTCATCTCTTTCCCTCCATTATTTATTTATCTTCCTCCCCTCTCATGATGTTATGTTTCGTCTCTCTTAGTACTATGTACTAGTTTATGCTTCGCATCTTAAACATTGATAATTGGTTTTATATTTACTTGTGACCATCAGTTTTTCTTCGTACTTCTAGACAACATTAAAAAGTTTTTGTCCATTTCATATCATAGGGTGATAGTAGCATGAGGACATCAACTCACCGATTCAAGACCGTTTCTGTATGTCTCAACACAGCACTTATTACTTGTCCCCGAATATACAAAAATATAATGCATTTACTCGAGCTAAAGCACATCTATTACAACTTGATGATATATCTTTCATCGTTTTGTAGTCTACTCGACATAATTCAGACAATTGACAGTTTTCATTTATTTATACACCAGAATACATAGAAATAAAATCGGATTTATTTCATCTATACTAATTGTTCTCTCATATCTCAGTCTAAGTAATTAGTTTCGTATGTTCAAAGTAAACTGTTTGCGAAATCTTGCAAATAAACTAAAATTAATCAGTTTTAATTAAACTGTTGATCAATATCCATAAATACGTGTTGCAATAAGTATTATCGTATTATTTTATATCGTGAAATCAAAGGTCACTGTGAAATTGGTTGTTATTACTTCATGTCTATGTATAACTTCATCTCTGAAAGTGTATGTTACCTTTAAAGCAAATTGGAGCTGTGCACGTTTCGTATATTTCTCACTCCAGCATTGTTAATAGTAGTTGCAGCATTAGTAACTGTAGCAAGGTTCCCCTTTTTTTATAAGATCCTCCTGGCTTTTACATAAAAAATCACTCAAAACTCGAAGGTGGGAATGCATCGTGAGGAAATTTTCCAGTGTTGCATTTTTCTTGCTTATTCATGTAATTCCTGCTTATTTGCAAGCATGTCTTTGAGTGCGCGTGTATTTGTTTTCATGTAACTACTTACGCTTTGTGGTTAAGTCACTCGATTGGTACTTAAATTCTTAAATTAATACCTTGTTTAATGAAATCATACACAAGGAAATTTTAATTGAGATCTATCATACGAATCACAGGGCTACTGATATATTCACATGCTTCCTGAAAGATGGCTAACTATATAGATTAACAGTTTTCTACTGCGCAACTGTGATAAATAACTATATTGAGATTGAAATTCAAAAAAAAATTATGGCAAAACACTACTTTTAAAGTCATTGTGAAACAGTTTATTTCGTGTAACTGTTTTACACTAAGTGTAAAATTCGTTTCCGTTACACTTATTAAACATTTCATAAACAGTGCTTCATTTCGTAGTAGAAACATCACAAAACTTCATTTTATTTCATAAATTTACTCCCTTGTGATATAAAGTGTGGATGCAAACACCGACATTTTATAACGTCTAAAGTTTTCCCACCACTACTATCTGCCTCAGTGCTAAAAAAGATCTTATTATCCATTACATCCTTCAATCTCGATGTTTCAAATTCGTGTTATTGGTATGTAATAAAAAGAAAGAAAAAACCTCAATATTATTCTAAATGATTCAGTATCAAAGTGAACCCCGGTACTGAGTCCATCTGCCTGCAGAAACAATTAGAGGAAATCAAGTGATAATATCGGTATAGCGAACGTAATTCCTTCAGTGTAATAAATCTATAAACTAAACTTGTTTCCCTGACACTTGATTTTAACGGTCATAACTTTACGCCATGAACAATATCGCCTTTTTTCCACTGAAATGTTTCGTAATCTTTCAGAGCATTTTCGTTCATTTAGTAATCATTTAGTTTTGTGTTTATTTTGTTTTAACAATAACTGTTATCTTCCTCATTCTTTAGATATTTTTTCTAAATATTATTCAGGTATTCGTGCATATGCTTGTAATATCTGTGAGAAAAGTTACACTCAAAAGCATTCTTTGAAAAAACACCTTAGAAATTCTCATTCAAGTATGTTTCTACGTTCACGTTATCTGTGTTGTTTAGGGATAAAACTGTAAATAAATCAATAGTTTCAATAAAATACAAGATTTTTAAAAATGAAGTGTAATCAAGATATGTGGGTCAATGAGACTGCCCTGTATACCGAACTAAATTAGGTGGAGTGGGGCTCAAAATTGAGGATTAGTGACTGAAAGTCGAATGCCTTAACCTTTAAGCGACCGCTTAGTGGTACTCAGCGCACAATCATTTTACAAGCACATTTTACTACGTCAGAAAAAATAGCAAACTATACAGGTAATTACCCTTCCTAGAGAGTAGCAATACCATTTCTTTGAAATCACGAACTGGTCTAAGTTAGACAACCACTTTAAACCTGGGAGCACTGGAAAGCGGTTTCGTCCTAATATGGGACTTCTCGCGAGTTCACATCCGCGACCCCACAACTGGGAATCAAACCCAAGACCTTCAGTTTCACACTCAGACTCTTAACCTCTGGGCCACAAAGCAAGTATTCAGTGATGTTCATGTCTAACTTCAATTAATCCTACGTATTGTGCAACCATTTTGAATTGTCCTCAGTGTGTACATTCCTCACACTCGACACGATCGGACTCTACTGGTCACGTCTTCTTACTAAAATTTCGGAAATTTTCTCACCAAGCTGTTTACTAGTAAGCGCATGGTAACTGTCAGTATGGGGTTGTGGAGATTGTTTAATTTCACTATAATCACGACGTCGTGGGTGCACAATGCTGAGGAGTTCCATACTAGGACCAAACAGCTGTCTAGCGCTTTCACACCTTCAGTGGTTATGATTTCAGTAAAATTTGAGAATTCTTACAACCCTATACTTATAACTATATCTATTTAAGTAGCCCTAAGTACGTATGTATTTTATTAAATATCTATGCAAAAAAAACGAGATTGATAAAGTTAGTGCAGTTCTTAAATATATCAAATCTTGTTTTCGTGCAACTCACATTTCACGGATAATTTTGATTAACTAATAAACATCTTTCTCACATTTCGGTTGAAATTAAGAACAGACATAACTCAATAATTATCACAAATTTTACGTGGACTCTTTTTAAATTTGAATAAGATAATCGCTATATTCTCGGATGATAGAACAGTTGACTAGTCAAATATTATCAAACAATTAACCGTGTCCTTTGACATACTTTTGCCTTCACCTCTCCAAAAGGCTTGTTGCAGGTTGTCTGGACACTATAATTTAAAATGCTTCAGAAATTTTCTGTAATTTATAATATCTATCAACGATGACCTGTACATTTTTCTTTTTTCTATTTAGTCTCATTCAGTCAAGGCATACTAGATGATTCAGGATCAACTAATGGGGTACAGAATAAATCTAGTCAATCTGCATGTTCCAATGAGATGCGTACTTTCAAATCACGTAAAGGGTTACTCGTTGATTCTCCAATTACGCCTAATTCTTCTAGTCCTAGTCCATCTAGATCGAATGAAGTAAGTGTCTACTTCTGTGATATGATTCAAATTCACCAATTACTTTCTCAATGTTCTTTTATGTGCAGATGTTCTATCCAAATCACTTTTAGTTTAGGAATATTATCAATTATGTATCTTAGCCAGTTTTCTTTGGGTTACTCAAACGTACCACTTTTAGGAGTACAGAAATATTTGTTGCATGATTATTCATGGATGCCAGATTTATAGTTAATCTTATATTAGTTCTTTACTTTTAACAATAAAATTAGAAAATTAATTTCTTATGTAGGTTTGTTCAAGTATATTGACAAGAAAGTACGCTGTTACTGAATAAAAAAGCTACCAAACCTTAAGAAGGTTTTAAGCGGCTACTTCAAATTGTACAATTTTTACTCAATGTTAGTATATGTTTATGCACCTGGTTATGCACCTATTTTTACAGAAGTTACAACTAATAATTACATGATCTTAGAGGCTTCTTAGTTTCGATAAATGCATCTTGAGAAACGGCACTGTGGTGTGAGCTACTTATATCGACATAAGTAGTATATATGGTGAGCAAGGAATAGAATATCTGACAGCAGAAGATTGAGAAGATCAAGAAGAGAAGGACAGAAATAAAAAGCAATTTGTGTGGAAATCCAGGAACAATGAAGCCTGAGACAATTGAAGAACATTTTGCAAACAGAGTATCATAGTATGGTTTTTACATTTTACCAAGTAACGTTGTAATTTGTGCTAAATATATAGTTGGTTGTCCTCACCTGTGTTCTCATTCACTACATTTGGTGTCGCTGCCTCCAAGGATGAAGATTCCATGGCTGAAGGAATTTGAGGACAGAGATGTGCTGAGCTTCCTGAAGGAGTTTGAAGCAGTGGCGGAGCTGGTTGGAGTGAAGGGGCCGAAGGCGAAGACGGTGGTGCTGAGAGGCAAAGCGAAGGCTGTATATGACAACTTGGAAGGTGCTGGCGGGAAGACGACATGGGAGGCAGTCACGGAGCGGTTGGTCATGAAGTTCGACAGCCCAGTGGATATAGAAGAAGCGCTGCAGAAGTTCCGAGTGGCGAAGTTGCCGGTCGGTGGTGACCCGCTGGTGCTGGCCGTGGAGCTTACCAAGTTGTTGCGTCGCGCGTTGCCGAATCTGGATGAGGAGTCGGAGGCACAGTTGTTGGCGTCGCAGTTTATCGAGAGCGTGTCTGTTGCCATTTCCCAGCAGCTGAGACTGGTACACGCCGCGCAACCTATGGATATCAGTGAGCTTGCAAAGGTGACGCGACAGTTGATGACACGAACAGTAGCTCCGGTCGCGTGCGGAAGTCAGGAGACAAATAGCATCGAGAAGAAAATTCAAGAACTGCATCACGAGATTGCGGCATTACGAGCGAATCGTAAAGGGAATGATAAGAGTTACGCATGTGGAGGGACAGGACACTGGAAGATAAACTGTCCAACACGACGAAAACGGAGATATTTTAGACGTTACGTGTTTCCTTCTTACTCTAGGGATCTGGGAGTTGTTGCATTAGTAGATAGAGAGGCAGTCTATGCAAGAGTGAACGTAAATGAACTAGATTTAGTGTGCCCCGACCGTTGCTGCTACCTTGACGTGGTGGTCGGGCTTGCCTATCGTGATGAATCAACCGAGCTATACTGGCTGGAACAATCGTTCCTCAAGGTCCTACCATGCCAGGCAGATCGTTTGAAGAGCGGTGAGACTAAAAGCAGCAAACCCAAGGTCCGAAGGCGAAGTCGTACTGTCGACTGTACAGAGGTGTGACAGCAGTAAGGTGTTTCCTTCAGACAACCAGCATGACAGCGATGCTGCCTTCCCACAAGGAGGGGTGGGGTTAGAAAAGGTCGACCCTAAAAATGCACACCTCGCCTTATCCCACGGATATCCGTCTCCGGCGGTAAGGCTTTTTTTTGAAGAACGGAGCTAACACAAAAACTACCCACAAAAAGTTCGTGTGTGACCGACCTCAAGCAGTTGTCCCTTGGGCACTGCGGTCACGCTCTCAGGTCATTAAGAACACTTCTAACCCAATTTCCTTTTCAGGTACCCCCAGGAGTTGGCTTTTGCCAGATTACGTCACCTATGGCGAAGACGATATATCCGTCTATCAACTAAGGGACGAGTATACTGTGCAGCAGTTCGCTCTGTTTTACTTTACGGCTGTGAAACATGGCCATTAAGAGTAGAAGATACTCGTAAGTTACTAGTATTTAACCACAGATGTCTTAGAAATATTGCTCGCATCTCCTGGGATAACCGGGTAAGTAATAGCGAGGTTAGACGCAGGGTATTAGGGAATGATGGTAAATCAGTTGACGAGGTGATGAATCTTCATCGACTGAGATGGTTGGGCCGTGTTACGTATGCCTGAACACCGATTACCACGATGCTCTATGCTGACTAGTATTGGGGATGGTTGGAAGAGAGTTAGGGGCGGCCAAACCAAAACATGGCATCAGTGTTTGAAGTCACTAACTTCTAGTCTGAGCCATGTTGGCTGACGCAGACTACCTGGTTGGGGTCCGCGTGACTATCGTAACCAATGGTTGGAGACTCTAGGTGACATGGCTCAGAATCGATCACAATGGCGTAGGTGTATACACTCTTTATCTTCCTTTAAACCTTGAGACTAAAATTGCTTCATATCTCTCTTCCTTCCTGTACTATATCCTTATATACAACCTATAATTTATATACTACTACCACCACTAAATTAATTACTTTTATGAACCCGGTGTTCATCTTGTTGTGATAACGAGGTATGGCAACTTGGACCGATGCATATATGTGCCTGGTCCTACGTTGTAGCTGATTGAGATTTAGTGTGCCTAATCGATACAGGGGCAGCAGTATCGTTAATAGGTAAAGAGCAATGTAAGATATTCAAGCAGTGTACAGTAGCAGTTCACACCATAGGAGGGCATATGTTAGAGGTATTGGGCGTGTCTAACAGTATCGTAAAAGTGGATGGTTCTGAAATAAGTTTTCCGTTCGTGGTAACCGCAAACCTGTCGAGACCAATATTAGGAGCAGATTTCCTAAGAGAAGTAAAAGCAATAGTTGATCTAAGAAGTGGTAAGGTGGTCACAAAGTACGGTTCGTTCCCAGTACATGAAAATAGCGAGGTGGCAGATTTAAGAGTGGCAACAGCCGTTCCAACGAAGAAACCAAACATTACCGAGTTGTGCACAAAGTATGCGAAACTGTTCACTGGAGAAGGAGAGCCTTACGGATTTTGCAAAAAAGTAAAGCACGAAATCCCGATTAAGAACAATGGAGTAAGTATATTCACAACACGTCGTGTCCCTGTGCACTTAGAGGCTGAAGTAAATCGACAGGTCCAAGAGATGTTGAAAGAAGGTATAATTGAGGAGGCAGACAGCCCATATAGCTCACCAGTACTCTTGGTAAAGAAACCGAATGGAAAGTATAGATTTTGTGTTGATTTTAGAGAACTGAATAATATAACGGAACTAAAACCATGTGCAATGCCAACAATAGTGGAAACATTAGATCGGCTGCAGAATGCCATGGTGTTTACAGTGTTGGATTTGCTGTCAGGTTATTGGCAACTGCCTATAAAAGAGAGCGATCGAAGCAAGACAGCATTTACTGTACGTGACAAACGGTATCAATTTAGACGAATGCCGTTTGGGTTTGCGGGCGCACCATTTACGTTCAGAAGATTAATGTCGCTACTGCTCAGGGATCTAGATAATGTCGAAGTATATGGCGACGATGTAGTTGTATACAGCCAGACAGATACAGATCGTGTCAAGCATGTGGAAGCGGTCTTAAAGAGAATCGAAGAATTCGGACTTCGAATTAATAAGGACAAGTCACAGATAGCGAAAAGTAGCATCACGTTGTTGGGGCATAAAGTAGGAAATGGAGAAATAAAACCACTGCCGGAAAAAATTCTGACCATAAAGAACATTGCAGTACCTAATTCGAAAAGGAAATTGAGACAGTTCCTGGGAAGGGCGGCGTTCTACAGTCGATTCATCAAGAATTTCAACGAAATAGCAGCACCCCTTTATAAGTTGTTGAGCAACACTAAATTTTCGTGGACTGAAACCGCCCAATCAAAAACATACTAGACGACCTCCAGATGACGCTCAGACTGCCCGAACTCGAGAAACCGTTCACAGTGACCACAGACGCAAGTGACCATGGTATAGGTGCCGTTTTTAGTCAGTCTGATAGAGTGGTGAAATACTCAAGTCGCGTTCTCACGCCTGCCGAACAGAAGTATTCAACGATCGAAAAGGAGTGTTTAGCGATTGTGTAGGCAGTAGACAAGTGGAGACCATATCTGTTAGGTAGACGATTTCACATCGAGACTGAGCATAAACCCCTGCAGTGGCTACAAACAGCACGAGACCCCCGTGGGAAGTTGGCGAGATGGATTATACGTCTGCAGGAGTATAACTTCATTATCGGGCATGTTCCAGGGAAGGAAAATGTAATGGCGGACTACCTGTCAAGACCAGACATGGAAGTCGAGCTTCCATTGACAGCATACGCAGTGAACAGTATAGAGGGAGACCCACTAGAACTCGTCCGGCAACAGAAATCAGAGTGATAAAAGAAGGAGCAGATGTTGACAAACGAGCAATGAACAAGGAGGTAATACTGTTACTTCGGCAAAAGGAAAGACTGAGAGTGAACACATGGAGCACTGGTCTGGCAGGATGATGACAAAAATCGGGTGGCTGTGATCCCGAAAGACTGGCGGCGTAAGATGATACACGAATGTCACCAGATAGCGCATTCAGGTATTGCAAGAACGACGGATTTACTGCGGCAAAGTGCATACTGGCCAGGTATGAGAGACGATGTGGCCCAATATGTGTTGACGTGCCAGCAGTGCCAATTAATGAAAAGCGAAGATACACGCAACCGCCATTGCAGTCAATCCCAGTAACCGCAGTCGGCGATCTATAGTCGGTAGATGTGATGGGACCATTTCCACAGACGGATAGCGGCAACCGATACTTATTAGTAATGACGGAACATGCTACACGATGGGTCGACGCTGTACCGATTGCAGATCAGCGGTCAAAAACAGTGACCGAAGTAGTAATCTGGCATATTATAGCGGGTCACGGAATACCGAAGATGATACTAACCGACCAGGGTCTCTGTTTTGAAAGTGACGAGTTTAAAGCAGTTCGGCATCAAGAGGATACGAACGAACCGTATCACCCTCAGACGAATGGGCTTACAGAAAGAAACAACCGGACATTAAAGGAATGGTTAGCATCTAAAGGAGGGAATTGGGAGAAAGAGTTACCACTAATTTTGCTGGTGCATCGTGCCTCTATACAAGGAACAACCAAGAAATCACCTTTCCTACTTATGTATGGTAGACAGCCACGACTTCCGATGCATAATAAGACGTGGCCACAGCATCAGAAGTGGATGGCAACAAGATTAAGGAAAGAGAGGACGGAGGCAATAAAGAACGTGAAAAAGAAACAAATATCAGACATCAAGAAGGCGGAACAACAGAGAAGAGCATGGAAGCCTTTTAGAGTGGGGGACCTGGTAAAGTGTAGAGAACGGGAAGGTAACATTGAAGGGGGACCAGGGTCAGGAAAGCTGACCTCGAAATGGGAGGGACCGTACATTATCACGGAGAGACGCGGCTCAGTTTACACGATCCGGAGGGAAGACAAGCAGAAGCGTGTAAATGCCAGTCAACTACAGAGATGGTTTCAAGAACGTCATAAGTACGAGCCACGAACAGCACCAAAGGAGACAGTGGTACGGCGATCGGAAAGATTGCGAGAACAGCTTATTAAAAGGGGGGACGAGTGTGGTGTGAGCTACTTATATCGACATAAGTAGTATATATGGTGAGCAAGGAATAGAATATCTGACAGCAGAAGATTGAGAAGATCAAGAAGAGAAGGACAGAAATAAAAAGCAATTTGTGTGGAAATCCAGGAACAATGAAGCCTGAGACAATTGAAGAACATTTTGCAAACAGAGTATCATAGTATGGTTTTTACATTTTACCAAGTAACGTTGTAATTTGTGCTAAATATATAGTTGGTTGTCCTCACCTGTGTTCTCATTCACTACACCACAATAAATCACTTCATCTCAATGAAATTTTCTAGTATTCAAAGTCACATTCTAAATTTATAGCAGGCAACTACAGAATCTACTTACCTAAAGTTTAACAACAAAGGAAGTGCATAACTGTGACTTGTCACTTAACCTTGTTCATAAATTATTGACTGCTACGTATTTGTGAGTATTTTGACAAATTATATCGCTAATTCCTCTAATTTTTGATGTACTATTCATATAAGGTTACTGCTTCAAACTTATCTTGTGTAAACCTATGTGTTTTGTATCATCTTAGTTTTTCATCACTTCAGTGGTAAATAACATAGTTTTATGTACTGTATATGGGTCGATTGATATGTTTTGGGTTTTTCTTTTCCCTAGACATTCACTTAACAGATATTCCTTCGGATAAAACTTTCGTGCAGCGTTTTTGTATTTAGACGCACAAGTAACCATGGACATCCCAATCTTCAAGCTGAGTTTTTTTATGTCTACCTCATCGATTAAACTGACGTCTACCTCAGTTTATATAGTTTCCATTATTGCATTTATGTAGTTCAATTGATAACCTTTTGTATGAAAAACCGGTTTGCCGTAGATTTTTTTTTTGAGTTTTTCAAATTTGGTTTTCAAACAATTGATTACTAACACATTCTTTATATTATGTACTAAATCTAATACTTTTGCTATCTGGACACTGTTCTTTGAGCTATTTTTGGATCAAACCTTATGTTCATCTGTATTCGCGATCTCATCTAATGTTGAATTTTTCAAGTATTTCTGGACTTTGTCTTATTTCTCGATGCTTTGTGATGGTTGATTTGACGAGTTGAGATATATATTATCATTATTATGTGACTGAAAATCTCAGAGCTGTTTAATCTTATTTTTGCTCTAATTTTTTGTGGTACATTTTTCACAGGAAGAGTTTCAATATATGTGCTCTTACCGTCTTTTTTATCTGTATGATGTGAAGATTCGGTCTACATGGTAGTGTTTATGTTAGTAAATGTCAGTCTGACAAAATGCGTATGAAACACATACGAAACAGTTGTATAAAGTGCAAGAATTTGAATAGTTCAAAATCACAATAATCCTTATAAAAAGAGTACTATATCATCGATTAGTTACTAAATAGACTTTTTGCTAGGGTAACACTAAATCGGACTGAAGAGAGGAAGGCGGGTTAGGATAAAAACATGCTTGACCAGAAATAGACAAATGAACACGGTTCTTATTTTTCTGTCGAAAGCCTGTCTCACAGTTCAGAATAATGCGTAATAAAGACATCTGTTTTCCGCTTGTGTAGGTCCTTCAAACCAAGACAAAAATCTTTTGTTCATATGACAAAGCTTCTAACATCGTAAAGGGGCTCATGGGAAATTACGCAAACAAATAAATGGGAACAATTTTTACATGCTCAAACTATATAAGGTCTATTCCTTGCACTGTACACCTAAAATCTTGGTTATTGAGACTGCTTCCATATCTCCTTTAATCTCGAAAAGTGATCTTCATACCTCTCCACATTCGCGAAGCTTGTCGATCTTTCTCAGCATGAAACTGCACAAATGTACAACGTTTCGTGTTGCCACCAAATTGGCATAACCCATTACAAAATTAGTAGAAGTTATAAATATTTTAGTGACATAAGACAGATATGACTCCAGAAGAAAGTATTGGTTTGTTATCGAAAATTATACGATAATTTAGAAGCTCGTAAACTAAAGGAAGTGAAAGCATCAATACACCTAGTATCTCTGATCGCGCAGAACCCAACCAGAAGGTCTGCATTTGCCGATATGGTTCAGCTCGACAGTTGATGACTTCATGGACTGATGACGTCTTACTTATTTTTATTTAAGTACATAAATATAAGGAGACACCGAATATATATGCACCACACTTCATCATTAGATTTGTTTGTGAGCTGGAATACTGCTCGGGCGCACGAACCGGAGCACGTGGTTCTCCTAGGTGTCCACTCCCCGAGCCTTTGACCTAAAAGTGTAATCCACAGGACACTGGTGTAATGTACCGAGATGCAGTCTCATGGTAGCCGGTGACCAACGATTGCTTCATACGCCTTTTGTTCCCTCAGAATCCTGGAGACCATGTGCACCATTGGTTTGGAATCAGGGTTTCCAAAACTCCTCTAGGTGGATCCACCAACCCGGTTAAAGCTCCGGACCTTTACTTTCCGCCCTCTCAATTTCGTAAACAACAGCCCCGCTTCTAGAAGGCTGTGAATAAAACTTCCGTGACAGGCTGTACATGCACGGCGATGTGAGTGCGGACGCCTCGACCGTGCCAGGGCCGCACTTAACCTTGTTCTAACCTATCTCTGCACGAACAAACCACCTGTGGAAGTAGTTAGTTGCGAATAGCACGTCCCAACCATGATTCACGATCTCATCAACCGATTTCATCCCTACCTAGCACCTTACGCCTAATCTTAATTGGTCGTTCCATGATACTCAAATAATTCAGCCCACAGGTCTTGTACTTTCAAAAATTGTAGAATGATGTGAAGTATGCTGTTCCGCAGTATATTCACTCTTACGTAGACAAAAGTATATCTCTACTCCACAAGTGATGTAAATTAAGGAAAAGGCAGATCGAACTTTCCGAATCCATAACGAAATCTGATTTGATGAAAATTCTAAGACTTATGGTGGGGTCAATGCAGTCGATTAACGTACTTCTTATCACTTGCTTACTTACGCTTGTTACCCTCGTCGAGGAGCATAGGCTGCACACCAGCATTCTCCACCCAACCCTGTACTAAGCAATCCTTTCCGGTTAACATTCATCCTTTTCATATCTGCTTCTATTTCCGGTGTAGTGTGTTCTTTAGCTTTCCGGATTCCAAGTTAGGGCTCTCCTCGTGATGCAGTTTGGTGATTTCCTTAATGTATGTCCGATCCACTTTCAACGTCTTTTCCTAATTTCCTCTTCATCTGGAAGCTGGTTTGTCCTCTCCCATAAAACGCTGTTGCTGATAGTATTCGGCCAGTGAATGTTGAGTATTTTGCGTAGACAACTTTTAATAAATACTTGTACCTTCTTGACGATGGATGTAATAGTTCTCCACGTTTCAGCTTCGTACAGTAGGACTGTCTTGACGTTCGTATTGAAGATTCTCACTTTGAAATCCATATGTTCTTCAATTGTAGGAATGCAGTCCTTGCTTTATTAATCCTCGTCTTTACATCTGCATCCGATCCTCTTTGTTCATCAATGACGCTTCCCGGGTCTCCTTACCACTAATTCAGGGATTTAGACAGATCGCTAGTGAAATAAAATTTTGCATATAAGGCGATAAAAACATTGTTGATCAAAACAGGGCATTATGGTGTATTCAGCAAACAGGGCTACATTACCTGCGTATTATAATTCAATAAGCAAACCTAGATAATCAGTCCCTGGAATGAGAATGATGTTTTCCGAGGCGATCACTAAATATGTTAGGTAAAAGTGTAGTCAGTAGACGAACATCAAATGAGGTTGACAGTTCTTCATAAACTCTGACTCAACGCCATTAAGGGTCTGGAAGGCTTGCGTTAACGTTCCTCACAATTCGTTTGGTAAAATTAAGGAACTGAAGGGTAGCTGGAGAGCATTTAAACTGTAAACCATCAACTTTGATGATCTATGTCAAAATGATTGAAGGCCTACTAGAGTTAGATGAGAATGGTGACGAAACAACTAACGCTGAAGTCACACCTCGCGACCAGCACCTTACGTGGATTGCTCCATCGTCGTATTAAGGGATCATGGGTGCTCTGAAGACTGTACAACACAAAGGACGTTATTACAAGAATATATTAGTTAAGGTAGATACAAGCGAAAGTACAACCACTGCCGCGTGGCCCAGCCCATGGCGTATAATCAGCTGATGCGCGCTCATTGTCCTTGACCTTGACAGGCATCGATGATCTGTTTGATATTCAGTGACATTTCACTGACCCTACAAAACTATAACGTCCAGTCTTACGTATATTTATGTTAAGCATGTAGTTACCTTGTGTGTTGGTGAAGTATGAGGTGCATTATTTTTGAGAATCTGAAAAAGGAAAAGTTAGCTTATGACTAACGATGCTTCTACATTTAATAATGAAAATAATAGAAAGCAGTTGGCGGTAACAATTGTAAGATTAAAACAATCGAAATCAGAAGTTGCTAGTGACAGATTTGAAATATATTAAAGTGGTCTTCAGTGTGTTACGACTATCGCTTCGATCTTTTAGCTGAGATTAGATCATTCGTTTTTTCTCAGAAACCATCCAACTACCTCCTACATTTTTGATGTTTGTTTTTTTGAAGAGACGTCAGATATTTTCCTTCTAAAAACCATGCGGTGTACTAGGGAGATTTTTTGGATTATATCTACTTTATGTCCTTCATTAAATAAGAGTTTACTGGAAGATAAGATTTACAATGAGAGCTAGTAGTAATCAGGCCTTACAAATATTAGATCCTTAGTAATTATAAGATATTTACATAAATTCGTCTGACGTAACTAATTATTGCTAAGTAATTCAATAGTAGAGAAACAGGCTCTAAATGAGGTGTAAGAACCGATATATACTTTGGAGGTGTTGTGTCCTCTGCGCTGATTTATTCCGTTGTACGGTTTCAAATCTTCTTCTTCTACACGACTGCAAGTATTTGAAACGTTGAACCAAGGGAGTATTCAGAAAATGGATATGTCACTAGAATCTGCCTTAGTACTTATGAGCAAATAGAATTATATAAAAAAAATACCCAGAAGTAGTTTGTATCGATTCTACTTACAACACCAATAATAAAAGTATTTATGTTTTTTTCCAATTCCGCTTTGTAGATATTCTTTATTCCAGTTGGTAATAACCGATAATTTTTGACGGGGACGTCCTGTTCTGTTTGCATGGACTCAAAAACAATTTCGAACAGACGTAACCTGGATCTTGGATAAATTCAGGGAAATAATAAGGAATACATCAAATACGCAAACGTTCGTTGTGGATTGCTCACGAGCAGAAAGCGCGGCTGTCCACATTACACATAGTAGTGCAAATATAATTTTGCGCGCTTTTCACGCATGTCACACTTTTTGTAAAATGGTACACCAATCGCGATTTTAATGAAATTGCCTTTAGGCTCGTGACAAAATCTTGAGAACCTACCTTGGTAGGTTAGTAACCTCAGAAACTGTTGGAAGGTATTGCGTGAAATATATTTATTCTGTAGATTTAAGTAGTATTTCAGAATTATTAACCAAAGAGACAAACGATTAGGTCAGTATCTGCACTGATTTTGGGTGGCTCGTAAAAGTTTGTGGGTTGCAGAGTTCACTGGAAATGTTTTGTCTCTCGGTAACAACACGAATAATCCCGTGAAATCATTGAATCGCCGGCTGAAAAGATACACACGCACAAGCGATAGTTTGCATAAATGTGTGTACAAGTTTTTCAAGTGGAATGTATTAACATCGGCAAGAATAACTGTTTAAGAAACGATCATAGCCGGCAGATGCTGTACTCACGATTCCCCACGACGACTACTTCCGTTGATCAGCGTACTTACTCCGTTTGTATGGACGAAGGTTTTATTCGAGCTGAAAAAGATGCGTTTCGTTTATATGGAATACAAAAATGGCGACTGGTTGTTCATGATTGATTACCGCAAACATTATGAAGTGGACGCAAGCACTTGCGGATGCATTTGTCGAACATTTATGACATGCCGATATCCTTGTCGTCATATACTACTGGCATACGTAAGAAGGCGAACAATTACAAGTAAGCTTAATCAATTACGAAATAAATAAACTGAATAGCTCATTATATTTTTAGACAATGCAGTTGATGGAAGATAAATAACACACATACCTTCTATAATAACCAGTCAACATCATTACCCAGACGGAGCAAACAGTATATACGGATTCAGTAAAGTCAAAAGATACATAAACAACAGATTGTTGAGAAATATGGTGGACACTTTACGATGATAATAGAGAGGAAAGTAGACGATTTTTACTTAAGAAACATCAATAACTAGGTAAGACTGCAATTTCTCAAACACTTATCTTTGTTTAGTCCTCTTTACGATCAAAAATACGGTTCAGAATGTAACAAAGTGTGGAGACGTGACAAGAACTGTTTACTGTAAAAAGTCCTTTGTGTTTGTACTTTTGATTTCACAATATATGCAACTTGTAAACTGATTTTCCTACATCAAATGTTGCTGTTCCTGTACCAGTAGTAATGATGCATCAATAAACCTTTGTCCGATTTTTTATTTTCGTCTTCTTCATACTTTTATGGGGAGGTATACCGACAATCCTAACGGGTAACTTTGTGAAAATTAAAAAAACTACTAAGCGTTCGGTTCTTATGTACCCGTTTCGTTACGAAAACTTGTAGTATTGCATCAGTTTAGACGTTTCGTTAGAATGCTGCGTTGTATGCATAAGTTTCTTCACTGTGACATTATAATCGAATGAATACATGTAACAGCATTTTTTAACCGCATGGTCTTCGAAGCCAAGCATATAAAAACTGAAAAGATGTATACTTGACATATAACACTTGGAGAAGGTCGGAAGTGGTGGACGTGGAGATATTAAGCCGGATGGCATGGCTCAGCCTTGCAGACGTGCTCATTATGTTTTTTTTATTGATATTCACATTGAATATATTATTCTGTCCCCAGCATAAATGTGTTCTCCAGAAGCACCAAGCACCATTGTTAATTGTCAGGATACGATGAGTCAGTGCAGATAGTGATGCGACTTCCATGTAAGATCCTACAGACTAGACAATCACATGACAAATTTACCGTTTTCGGATTAGGTTTATCATCGAAGTGGTATTAGCACCGAACCAGACTATAATTATACATACTAACAATATTTATAATGCAAAAAACTGTACATTTGTTATATTTATATTTAGATAATTCACTAGATGAATAAACGTGGTAGTGAAAAATATATAACACAGTTTCGTCAATTTGTAAACTGTTTCTCCACATGATCTTACATATTCAAAAATTGGGGAAGTTGTTCACCGGCATA